GTTATGTAATGTTGCTGTTATAATGTCAGTATGGCTATCGCAAGAGATCATTTAATTGTTTATTTTTACTGAGACCCATTTAACGCCCGCATGAAAAAAATAGGTGCAATAACTCAGATGACCACTCTGTTCAATTGTGGTGAGCAGAAAAGCATCTCAGAATGTACAACATAATGAAGCTTGAGGTGGATGGGCTACAATAACAGAAGACCATGTCAGATTCCACTCCTCTCCGCCAAAACTGGACAGTGGAAGACTGGAAGAACTTGGTCTGATGATTCTCGATTTCTGATGAGGCACACAGATGGTAGGGTTAGAATTTGACATCAGTAGCATGAATCCATGGACCCAACCTGCCTTGTGCCTGCAGCCCAGGCTGCTGGTGGTGTAATGGTGAGGGGAATGTCTTCTTGGCATACTTTGGGCCTGTTAATACCAATCGATCATCGCTTGAATTCCACAGCCTATTTGAGGGTTGTTGCTGACCATGTGTGTCCCGTCATGGCCACATTTTACCCATCTTCCAATGTCTGCTTCCAGCATGATGATCCAGCACATTACAAAGCAAAAGTCATCTCAAACTGGTTTCATGAACATGACAATGAGTTCAGTGATCTTCAGTGTCCTTCTCGGTAACCAGGTCTGAATCCAATAGCACACCATTGGGATCTGGTAGAACAGGAGATTTACAGCATGGATGTGCAGCTGACAAATCTGCTGATGCAGACATGTCTACATGGACCAGAATCTCAAATGATTTTTTCCAGCATTTTGTGGAATCTGTGCCATGAACAAGTGAGACTGTTTTGAGCCCAAAGGGACACCCTACACATTTCTAATGTAGTGTTCCTAATAAAGTACTCAGTAAGTAGACAATCCCTCATTTTTTTTCTGTGAGTCTGCAGTACCCCCCTCCCCCACACTCCCCAAGCCCTAAGGTTAACTCCAGGAAGCTTGGCTGAAAGCCAACTGACTCTATACTGACCTCATACTTTAAAAGGCGCCTTCTGGCTCAGCCCCTGCTGCCAAACCCCTCCCACAAAGAAAGGTGGCTAGTACCTTTGACCTCAGTGGAGAGGTGGGTTTATGAAAACTCCTCGCCACGTGTGTAACACTTTGTCACATGCTGCTGTAATGCTGGCGTGGAAATCACCTGTTCCCTTTGTCAGAGGTGTGACGGACTATATACCTCCTAAAATAAACTCTGGGGTCAGTGGAGAACGGCAGGGAAATACTGACCCCTCTGTGTTGCCAGGTACAAGTCATAGTTTTGTGTTGAGGGGCGAAGACCTTCAGCTACTCCAGCTTAAAGACTTACTCTTGACTTCAACAACCAAGGTGTGTTAAATGAGACAAAGGCAAAGCAAATAAGAGAAAAATGCCATGGATGGAAAATAATATCAGAGAGATTATGACATATAGGTGACAGAAGGCAATCAAGAAAAAATGGCATTGTTTATGTACTATGGTTTCTGTGACATATAACAGACAATAAGCTCTTCATATGATACCAGCATGGTTACATATCCAAAATGCATGTCATATCATGAGTAATTATTTTATTTATGTTCATCAAACTTTACTACAAGGCTTTACAAAATCATTCCGATGAAAGAAAATACCACCTATGTAGTGCTCTTTTTTTTTTTTTACAGTTAATCCGAATGACGTTCTCTTTCCTGGATTATGCACATGCCTGGTAGAGAAAAGAACGCAGCCCAGAGCTGTGCAGGGGCCTGGAACAGAGGTGATACTTTTGTGATTATGTTCTGGTGTTGTGGTCTGAATTTAAACTGCGATGAGAAGTTTTTAGGGCTCAACAGTTGAGCCCACTTCCATCAATGTGCCCAGAATAAACAAGACACTTTGACATTCACCTTTTGCCCTTGCAGAGCTTCATCTCCTGTGGAAGAGTGAGCTCTGTAAAGATACTTTATTATGCAATTCTAACTTTGCAGCATGGGATTGTGGGATATGTTGCAGCTCAAGGTGAACTTGAGAAGGTCTTTGTGTGAAAACCACGATGTTTCCATCAGGCCTTTAAACTATCTCAAAATAAGGTTCAAGACTTCTTTTTGACCCCATGTTGAAAGAACAGCTGTGGGTTTGTAGTCTCTGGCACTGAATAGCAAAACTAATTCGTCACAGTCTCAAGCTTTCTGTCAGCCCCTAATGAGTGTCTGCGTGGGTCAGTGATAAAGAGCAAGGCTTCAGATTACCGAGTCTACAGTTCATGCAGAATTTACGTTTTTGCATTGTTTTCTCCTTCCTCTAAAGTAAGCCCCCTTACAGTCTTGTGTAACCTTGTATAGACACTCATAATTCATGATCCTTTCAAGCAAGTCTGGTACATACTCACAATCTGCTCTTGTGTTATGAAGGTTTCACCCCTAAACATTCTTTGATCATTGCCACTGACCTTTTTAGTTGTGCATACAGAGTTCAACAGTTCATGTACCAATGTAGACCACAGAGCAGTCCATTCACACTTTGAAATTACACAGATAAATGAAAACCCTCTTTCCCCCTAATTCTCTCCACATATCTGCTTAATTTTTTTTCTGTTTTCCCTGGAGTGTAATTTTTTCTCTTTTTAAATGGGCAGTGGGGTGGAATTGTAATTAAGCTTAGGAGGAATTATTTTGTCTGATTTAAATCTTAGAGATACTGGAATTAAGCTCTTGTTGTGATGGAACAAGATTTGAAAATTGTAATTTTACGTAAGGGATTAAAAAATTAATCACCTTTTGACAAAACCATTTTTTAACAATGAGGTGGGAGGTGCACATTGATTGAGTGTATAATGGGTGTCTGATATGGAGTTCTTAAATTTCTCTTGCCTGGATTTTGATGTGATTTTGCCATAGTGATCCTGCATCATTGTGAATTTCCTTGATGTTTCTGCTTGGACTGCAGTTGACTGTGGTTAAAGTGACTCTACCTGGATACCTGAGAGCATGACAGAAGTATTTGCCTGGACGTATCTGCCCTATAACTTTTATAGCATTTCTGTACAGACATTTAGCTACCATGTCACCCTAGCGTCCTATTGAGCTTGTGTGGATTTCTTTCATTGTGTTGTACTCTTTCCTTCCTCTACCTTGCCACACTGGAAATGGGGGCAGTTCTACATCATTTACCTTGAAACTTGGCACATTTCACCACTGGGTCAGAAGTTCAGCTTCTTGGCCACTATGCCCCATGCTGTCACATCATCTCACTGTTTAAAACTTTAATACCTTTGGGTCCCAATGTTAAATATGCAATATAACGTACACTTTAGAATATGTGTGGGGATTTGTGTGTAATAAACCTTAAGAAACTTACAAACAGTAGTTTTCAGGATGTGGGACGAGATAACTATGACAGGATGCAGTAAAATGTTAGCTTTAAAGAACAGAGATCTACATTTAATTGTGTAAGAGAAAGAATTCGTGGTCGATTACGTTGCCCACATAGCATAGAATTAATAAGAGTTGTTCACTGTCCTCCTATTACTGTAATATTCTGGAAAGTTGTGATTGTTCAACACCAGTGCTCACAGTTAAGAGCACCTCCAACTCCACATAGCAAATATACATATGAGGTGAAGGAGGTATTGAATGATTCTGTTCGTGTTTGGACTAACCACCCTGAGATTCTAATGCATCCTCCAATACGTCCATGATTCACCTATATCACTGTGCCAAGGACAAGTTGTGGAACATGTTTTTCTGGAATTAATTGTATAACTGGTTTGCAGGACGCTTATCTTGTTCTAGGACACTTGTGTTGTCTTCGTGGAAGAAGGGAAAGCGTTGCCCAAGGACGCTTGTCTTGTTTCCCATGGGATTAAAGAAAAGCGTTGTCTAATATATTTTGCAGCTGCAAGAAGTCTCACTCCACTCAGGTGAGAATTAGAGGACCAGAAGCGCACTGCCTAAGGGGAGAGGTGAGCCTGGCCAGCTCATTCTCTGCCCACACGCACACAGTCGCCTTAGACATTGTCCAATTTAGTATGAAGGAAGGGGAAGAACTCAGTACTGACCGGAGCTCGGCCGTGGGATAGAGCGCACATCACCCGGGCACTTTCTCGGGAATCACGTGTTGGTCTCCTGCCAGGACTGAAACGGATTCCCCAGTCTAAGCGTGAAGCTGGGTGATGATGGCACGTCCAAGTGTGAATAGCTTGCAGCATTTTATTGATTAAAGGCATTACTTATAAAAGCTTATGATATATGATAATTTTGTATCACTTTTAATGAAATACTTCTGAACGAACCAAAGTGTGCCTGTTTGTTCCTTTGAAAGCCCTATATCCCCCTCTCACACTAAGACAAGTTGCTTACCTCATACTTTTGTCCCAAGTAACATTTGTCCATCTCTTTAATGAGTACGCTACCTGAGGCAAGAATAATTACACACACGCCATGTTTATTTTATTTTTAACTTGTCATTCGCAATGATGTCATCATTTACCCAGTGCAAGCTCCTCATGGAGCAGGCAAGACATAGGCAAAGAGTGGAAGCTCAGGAAGGCCTAGTTTGAATCTGGGAAGAAGGGGTGATTATGAGAAAGCTGGGAGACGCTTATGAACCCAAACCTCCAGGTGAATAGAGTTTGGTTTTGTTTGATTACTGTTTGACTTGGTGTCATGGTCACCTGTACATTCTTTGCACAGTTTCTTCTCCTGCAAGCCAGCCCTCATTCGTAAAGTCATTAGCAGGATTACAGAATAAGAGATCAGGGTAGCACTTTACTAAAGGCCATGTTTTTAGCAATTTATAAACCCATTCATAATGCATTATAATGCATTCAAAAAGCATTATCAACGTGGGTATAAATATTTATAAAAAGGCATGACACATTATATGCATGTTTATTATGCATTATGACTGCCTTATGAAGCTCTCCTCTATTATGCACTATAGATACCTTTATAATGCAGTATAAAAGCATCCTTAATGCTTATACCGACCATTATAATGCATTATAAAGGTATCTATAGTGCATTATAGACAAGAGCTTCATAAAGCAGTCATAATGCATAATGAACTTGGCTATAATGTGTTATGTCTTTTCATAAAGATTTATAAGGTTTATAATGCTTTATGAATGCATTATTATTTGTTATGAATGTATTTATGAGTTGCTAAAAACATGCCTTTCAGTAAAGTGTTACCGAGACCAGATTATGTGTGCTGCATTTTTAAACAAAAATATAGAAAATGACCAACTAGAATCATGGTTGCAGCAAGAAGACAACCGACTACGAAGCTAGCTGTAGGACTCAGCTTGTCAGGAATTCCAAAATGGCTACTTTCGTTGGGAAAACAAGTTTGGTACAATCTCATGATGGATCACGCCTCCAAGTACTGTAATGCCGCTTTTCCACTGCCACCAAGAACCAAGTCCTACCTAAGCCAAACAAAGAGATGGTTTTCCACTAAAAATCATTCGAGCCATACCCATGCTTACTAACAGGCCGAAAGTGTGACTAAACTGAGCTGGTTACATCAACTGGTGACATCCTTCTGCAGTGGAAAATCAAAGTGAGCTGGAACTGCACTGCAACTGGCCTGTAATTGGAGTTTCCTCGTAGTACAGGTTTGGTTTGGCCTGGTTCCTGCATGCCAGTGCAAAAGCGTCATTATTCATCAGCTCCCCTTTTACTTAGGAATGGTACTCCTATGAAGCTTCATGTTTTTGTGACAGGTTTTCAATAGGTAAAAAGATTCAAATTGGTTCAGCGGGATCTTCAGACTGACTTTGAAAAACTTTAGGAAATGAAGTATTTTAGAAGGTCCCCTGTTTGGCCTGATGTCAGTTGGATGTATATTACAGGGGTTTTTGTGAGATATCCAGGTGAGGCAGTGAGAAAAGCAGTATCCATGACTACACCAAGTCAGCCTCTACTACATACTGTTCGGAGTAGCCCTGCACCAGCTCTGCCCCCAGCGTGCCACAGCAAAAGTTGGCCAGCAGCTCCCAGAGGGGTGGAGCCAGAAACATCTGGCATACAACACGGCCAGTCAGGCTGTGGGTGGAGTGTTCCAGGTGGGCCAGGACCTGCTGCTGCACCGGTTCTAGCACCCTACCGAAGATGTCAATGGTGAGACAGTGGCAGCCGAGGCTGAGAGGCACAAGGAATGGAGCTGAGCACAAGCTTAGAACAGTAGGCCTGAGCATGTCGTCCGCCATCCAGTCCACCTCCCGCTGCAGCAGCATCTGTACGTTTCCAGGCAACAGCCTGAAGGGCTGCCAGTCCTGCACGATGGTGCCATTAGGCAGGATGTCCCGGGCAACATCCTCATTCAGGAGCAACCGCTGCAGTTCCTCAGATTCAAGTCTCACTGGACGGTCCATCTGCACGGTCCCCAGCTCTGACCCCAGATCAGCTAGTCGCTGCCTCAGCTTCTCAGCCTGGAACTCAAACAAAAGTATTCCCTGCAAATAGAAGGAACGAAGAAATGAAAATGCATCCATCCAACAGTCTTCCAACCATTTATCCTGAGTAGGGTTGTTAGACAGCCTGGAACACAAAGTAGTAAAATTGGTTTTTGTGCAAGTCAGAGAGACCAGAAAGCCAAAAGGAGTGGAAAAGGCAAATATCGTACCAAGAATGAAGAATTTGTAGCAGTATTTGCAATATTTAAGGTATATTTTATAATAAATAGCCTGCAGTCAAAAATAGACATTTCTGAGGAGGGCTGCTAAGGGGTTTATTTGCTAACAGACAAGACAGTCAGAAAGGTGACCTTGCGCACCTGTTTGGCGATTAGCTGGTACTTTTGTAGGTCCCTGGGCCCCAGCGGGTCATCGCGTGTCAGCCGGCTCACCTTCACGCTGGGATACCTGGACTTCACCATCTGGGAGCAAAACTTGAGCAGGACCCTGGCCACACCTTTACCCCTTTCCTGAGGTGCCACCCGCAGGCCTTCCACCAGTGCCGTCTGGCCATCGTCGATGACGCACACCGACTGCAGAGCAATCTGGGGGTGGGTGGCAGAGGAGGTACGTGTAGAAGAGAGCATAGGTCTAAAAACCTGCTTGAAAAGCATTCTACAGAGCACTATGTGGCCATCATTTAGGATGTGCACTGAATGCAAAGTGATCTGGGGCATGGGGTGGAGGAGGCAAAATGTAGGTCTTGAGGAGAATGTAGGCCTCCAGAAGAATGTAGGCCTCAAAAGAGCCATTATGCGTCAAGTTAGATAGATCTAAGGAAATCATATTTTGCTTTGCAAAAAAGAGGGCACCGGCGGGATGTAAAGAGAGGCGTCAAAGCAATACAAATATGCACACAGAAAGTATTCTGACTGTAGAAACAAATGTCAACATGAAACAAAGGGAAATCCTGGATATTTCAGCCATTTTTAGGTCCCAAAAAAAAGGAAAAATATGGGAAAAAGAGGATGTATGATCATCTGCATAGACATAAAACCAGTGATTGTAGGCTATGAATTTTGGCCCTAAACAAATGTATGGTCTCTGTGGCAGGCTTACCACTTTGCCCTGCTTCCTGGCCAGGATGACCATGCGGTGGGGATCCTGCAGCCAGGCGCCATAACGCGATGGTAGGTAATCCAGGCCTCCGTAGATATCCTTGCTGATGCTCAGGATCTCCTCAAAGTCTTCCTCAGCTGCCCGTGAAAACTGCAGATCGCAGTGTGGGTTGGTCTGAGGAAGCTCAACGAGTGTAGATGAGTGTGTGAGGACATCCTGGACCCCCTTCTTCCAGCTGGGGAGTGGGGGGGAGGGATTGGGACATGTGTGGTCGACAACAGCAATCTATAAGGTATCTTCAGAGATGCATACTATACACTAAAATGATGTATATAATTAAAGGATCACAGCATGTCTTCCAGCTACTTATCCTGGACAGGGTGGCAAAGGGACACAGACAGCACATCACACAAGGCAGAGGTACAACCTGTATGGGATGCCAGTCTTTTATAGGGCAAATACAAGCACACATTACAGGAAGTTTAGAGACAACAGTTTACCTAACTGCAGGTATTTGGAAAGTGAGAGACAATCACAAAACACAATGAAAACATGCAAACTCCACATAGGTGCATGAAAAGTAGAGATGGGATTCAGATCCCTGTCCCTGAAAGCATGTGGCAAGACTGGTACCGTACTTCTCCAGAATACAGCACACGCACACTGTCTATATATGCTAATAGCATATGTGTGTGTGTATGATTGATGATACCTTCTGTACCTTCGCAGTGACTTCTTCTCCCTGCCCAGCTTCTTTACGCCCCCACAGCTCTTCTCCCCCCCCCGGGTGCCCAACGGGGCCTGGCTTTTCTTGTGATCACGCCGGTGCATCCACTGCTTCGGTGGTGCATTCTCCCCCAGGACATGTGCCATCGGCAGCTTGGGATAACTGCAAGTGAGTGACAAGACAGGGCGCTCGTACTCGTGCAAACGCATGGGCACACGACGCCTGCACCCATTTTTGTAACCACTCGTCCAGTACAGGGTTATGGTCAGCATATGGGTCCCAAGAAACACAAGGCACTGGGCACCAGTCCATCACAGGGCACTGATACACCCAACTGCATATTTTATGACTGCCAGTGGAGAGTACCCAGAGAAAACTTGCGCAAAAGTGAGTACGCAAACTCCACCTACACCAAAGCAGAGGCAGATTTAAACCCACAATACTAAAGGTGTCCATCTCTTCATCACACTTCCATAACTACTAAGACACCATACTATCCTTCACAATACCTACGTGTGTAACGTCCATTCCTCTCTGTCTCAGAGAATCATTGTGTGTCATTGCAAATATTGTCTGCCTGTATAGTAGGGCTGGACGATTTATCGATTAAAAATCGAAATCGCGATTTGAAACAACACCATTAGCAAGTCGCAAAAATTGTGATTTAGGATATACGTTATACAGCACGTCAGACCCAGGGTTTAAAACTGTTGTGAGAATAGTTTTACAAATTCATGCAGTGCTCCCTGTGTGACAGTCATTCTCACCAATCGCAAGCGCCGTGCTTCTCGCGTGCCAGCCATGCTCACCAATCAGAAGTGGCCCAAGAAGACGTATAGGCCCACAAACAGCAAACACTTGAAATCCAAGGAAAATGTTACATTCGCGGTGCGGAAAAATACTGATTCTGCTACTGAGCTGTATGTGAATTGCCTTCCTATTTCATGGTCCGAGATTGTTTCAGAAAGGTCCTATCATCAATAGAACCGGCGAGCTCCTTTTAAACACCAGCTGCAATATACTTCAGCGTATCATACCCTTGGCTTTTGTTAATAGGCAACAGCATTAGTATACCGCTAACCCATCAAAACAATAACGAGACAGTCAGTAATTCTCACAGCAGCGGAGTCGGTGACCTCCAAAAAAGCCGTAAAACCCACAATACGGTCGTGTTTATGTCATATGTTTTTGTGCTTTTTAAATTTAAGTGTTTCCAAAGATTAATCCCACAACAGTAATAAAATAAAAGTC